ACCCCATTCCCGTTTCAGGCGTTATCAAGAACCTCTGGAATACACCGAGCGCAGCAGAAAAACACGAAACTTTGATTCAATGAAGGATGATGTGCCAAGGTAACGAGAACCTCTACAAAATTTACAGATTGAGGGTTGCCTACATTGCCTACGGTTATGCCAGGAGCAAACCAACTGGTGTCAATGCTATCTACCCGTCCAAGGGATAGAGGTCAATAGAAGCGAACGTATCCACAATTACCAGGGGACAAATGATAACAGTCGATATCGACTGAGTTCTTATTTGACAATAAATTTCAATACGAGCATACCTACTGTATGATACCATCCCATCGGAATTGTAAAAGAAAAGTTGTGAATTTTTGCGAGTAACCGATAATCGACTTGCCAAAAATCTTTATTTTCTGTGGTGTGTTTATTAAATAGATACACCAGATATTTTGTTGGGGGCATTTTGTTGTAATTATATAAAAAGAAATATAAATAAATAAATAATTATGAATGAAAATGTCGGAATTTTTGGCCGACTCATGTCAATAATTGGTCTGTTCCAGCACTTTTTTAATAGTAAATCTAGTAAAAAGGAAAAATGTCAAACTCGCTCTCAGAGTACAAACTAATTTGAAAAGTTCGGGAACGGAAATCTAGTAAATATGTTAATAGTAGGTGGCAATACTTCAAAATCAACATAACAGCCAATCAGAAGTATCCAAAATAGAATAAATATTCAGTCTTATCACATTCACGGTATGTCACGTAATCTATGAACAAATACATTGGTCATAGAAATCCATAAACACCTATCGTTAGTGTCTCATTTTAAATCGAGGGCAATTCTTTGTAAGTAAGGCTGAAATTTTTATTAATTTCACAATTAAAGAAAATTCACATGATACAAATGGTTATATCATTTTATGATTTCCGAAGGTAGATTTATGTAGAAATCCTTTTTGGGTGCTGTTATAGTAACAATCCCTTCCAATTCAATTTAATGCCAAATATAATTGTTATTGATGTAAGTTTTTGCGAGGGCTACCTACATTTAAGGACGATAATTTTTTTGAAATTTGTATAATAGACACGGGTATGTAACCATCATAACTAAGACCATTCATAAGTACCTGTCAGTAAAATATTGTAAAATGTATCAAAAGTATCTGTTCCGGAATTTCGAAAAATTTTATTTTCAAAAGTAAATAAATAGTAAAAGACCCCATTCCCGTTTCAGGCGTTATCAAGAACCTCTGGAATACACCGAGCGCAGCAGAAAAACACGAAACTTTGATTCAATGAAGGATGATGTGCCAAGGTAACGAGAACCTCTACAAAATTTACAGATTGAGGGTTGCCTACATTGCCTACGGTTATGCCAGGAGCAAACCAACTGGTGTCAATGCTATCTACCCGTCCAAGGGATAGAGGTCAATAGAAGCGAACGTATCCACAATTACCAGGGGACAAATGATAACAGTCGATATCGACTGAGTTCTTATTTGACAATAAATTTCAATACGAGCATACCTACTGTATGATACCATCCCATCGGAATTGTAAAAGAAAAGTTGTGAATTTTTGCGAGTAACCGATAATCGACTTGCCAAAAATCTTTATTTTCTGTGGTGTGTTTATTAAATAGATACACCAGATATTTTGTTGGGGGCATTTTGTTGTAATTATATAAAAAGAAATATAAATAAATAAATAATTATGAATGAAAATGTCGGAATTTTTGGCCGACTCATGTCAATAATTGGTCTGTTCCAGCACTTTTTTAATAGTAAATCTAGTAAAAAGGAAAAATGTCAAACTCGCTCTCAGAGTACAAACTAATTTGAAAAGTTCGGGAACGGAAATCTAGTAAATATGTTAATAGTAGGTGGCAATACTTCAAAATCAACATAACAGCCAATCAGAAGTATCCAAAATAGAATAAATATTCAGTCTTATCACATTCACGGTATGTCACGTAATCTATGAACAAATACATTGGTCATAGAAATCCATAAACACCTATCGTTAGTGTCTCATTTTAAATCGAGGGCAATTCTTTGTAAGTAAGGCTGAAATTTTTATTAATTTCACAATTAAAGAAAATTCACATGATACAAATGGTTATATCATTTTATGATTTCCGAAGGTAGATTTATGTAGAAATCCTTTTTGGGTGCTGTTATAGTAACAATCCCTTCCAATTCAATTTAATGCCAAATATAATTGTTATTGATGTAAGTTTTTGCGAGGGCTACCTACATTTAAGGACGATAATTTTTTTGAAATTTGTATAATAGACACGGGTATGTAACCATCATAACTAAGACCATTCATAAGTACCTGTCAGTAAAATATTGTAAAATGTATCAAAAGTATCTGTTCCGGAATTTCGAAAAATTTTATTTTCAAAAGTAAATAAATAGTAAAAGACCCCATTCCCGTTTCAGGCGTTATCAAGAACCTCTGGAATACACCGAGCGCAGCAGAAAAACACGAAACTTTGATTCAATGAAGGATGATGTGCCAAGGTAACGAGAACCTCTACAAAATTTACAGATTGAGGGTTGCCTACATTGCCTACGGTTATGCCAGGAGCAAACCAACTGGTGTCAATGCTATCTACCCGTCCAAGGGATAGAGGTCAATAGAAGCGAACGTATCCACAATTACCAGGGGACAAATGATAACAGTCGATATCGACTGAGTTCTTATTTGACAATAAATTTCAATACGAGCATACCTACTGTATGATACCATCCCATCGGAATTGTAAAAGAAAAGTTGTGAATTTTTGCGAGTAACCGATAATCGACTTGCCAAAAATCTTTATTTTCTGTGGTGTGTTTATTAAATAGATACACCAGATATTTTGTTGGGGGCATTTTGTTGTAATTATATAAAAAGAAATATAAATAAATAAATAATTATGAATGAAAATGTCGGAATTTTTGGCCGACTCATGTCAATAATTGGTCTGTTCCAGCACTTTTTTAATAGTAAATCTAGTAAAAAGGAAAAATGTCAAACTCGCTCTCAGAGTACAAACTAATTTGAAAAGTTCGGGAACGGAAATCTAGTAAATATGTTAATAGTAGGTGGCAATACTTCAAAATCAACATAACAGCCAATCAGAAGTAGGCATTCCTGTTTACCATTTTTACTCGGCGAAATTTCTCGAGTAAAAAGTTTACAAAGAGAACGCCATTTTGTTTTGTGCTCTCTTAAATTTGGCTCAAAGTTTTAATAGTTTTGTCGGTTCAGGAAGGGTTTTCGAGTAAAAAGATGCAAAACTTGTAAAATTAATAGATTCTATTAGGTTCTGGAACGGTACTAATATATATTTTCTTACAAATTCTGAATAAAAATATATTAACTCTCTGCAACAGTTTTTGTAGCTGCTAAAAATAAGTTGCATCTACCTGTTATATGTCTTGTGTGCTGTCAAATATATAAATAGTTTAGTTAGCGTTTCAAAAATATACATATATGAAAGCTGTGTCTGCATCTGCACAAATTTCAACAAAACGTAATTACGTCATTCTAGTCTCAATTCGACACGTTGTGCAAAATTTCGTGTCACTCGGTGCTCCATTTACCTAAACTCTGAACTTAACTAAATCCGAACCGATTTCAACGAATCTTGCCAAAAGGGTATAAAACACACGGTGTTTTCCAGAACATATACCCGTGTATCTACTTATAGTGACTACAAAAAAAGTCAACAAATAAACTTTTTCAAAATGTTCATAATATATCTTTGTACATTTTTTCATATCGTAATTATTCAAAGAAATGTATCGAGTGGTGAACTACATCGTTATTTAAAGCCCCATCAGCTCGATTAATCGAGATGATCGTTTTAACGGAAACACAAACAAGTTTTAAAGTATGGCAGAAAAACGCCAAGAATACCTACCTTCCCAGATCCTCTTACAATGTATAACCAATTGCTATTAATAATTCAATACATGTAATTAAATGTTTGAAAAAAATAATAAATATGTTTTATTAAAACAATAATAAAAAAATATTACAGATTCATATTCCAAGAAAAGTATAAGAGGGCAAGTTAAAATTAATACTACAAACTAGAAGCGCCATCAAAGTATTCGCAAGGATAGTTCTAAATATATTAAAAAAATCAAAATATTTTAATACATTGGAAATCTCAATATAAATTTAACAACAATAAAATTGTTTGCTGCATTACAATGTTTAGTAGGGTAGGAAGAAGTTTAATGAAGAATAATAGTCATACATAATTTTCAGTAGATTTATACCCAGTTCCCAAAACAAATTATAATCCTGTATGAAATTTTCCGATATTTGATTTGGTATTAGTTTTCAAATATTTAGTTTCCGCCACCCGATACATGATATATTGAAAAATAGTTAATAAAGACAGCTCTCTCTGTCTGTTTGGCCAGATAATTTTGGATACTGGGTATGTATCATTTAAAATTCATTATTTCCATATCACAATTAATTAAAAATTATAAAAACATTTCTAAAAATAAGCATCAATGTTTCTTTCACTGGTTACTTGTAAATTTCTAAATCTAGATTAATTTCAATATAAAAAATATTAGTATATTATATAATTTAAGTGTATGTATACGCTAAGAGGATATTCTGTAATAATACATAAGTATGTTTGTTGTGTGTGTTTGTAATAATTCAATAAAAAATTGCAATGTAAGTGTGTGAGTGTTAATGTTAATAATACGTAAATATCTAAGTATTCATTTACATGTACATAAGTGTAATAATATTAATGATGATTTTATAAAAAAATAGCTTTTGTTTGTATTGTTGTTGTCATAGACATAGATCCAGCGATTTCAAAATGTGTTTGGTAGACAATTAAAATCGATTCATGTGCAGCATCATCATCTTCCTTATCATCCGTCATTGTACAAAATTGGCAGTCATGTTGTATTAGCGGACAAAACCTAGAACCATACAACAGCACCACGGTAAGTTGAGGTTGTGCTGACGACTGATTCCGAAGAAGACAACCAGTAACAGAGAGAAACGGACACGATGACATCAATTTAATTACGTCTTATCTTTGAGCAGAGCTACCAGATGATTCTTTTTAGCTTTTTCCGATTTACTGTATTCATCCAGGAACTGTAAGTGAATAAAAAAAGAAACAAGAAATAAATGAATTTAATTAACTCTTATATAAAAATCATGTTTTACTTTTAATGGGTATAAATAGTTAGGAATTAACCAAACCCGGGCGTTTAGAGGGTTACACATATTCAAGACAATTTTTATTGTTTCTTATAAATAAGAAAATTTTGCTAGTAATCGTTATCATAATCATTATTTTTAATTACGGCAGCACACCTACAAGCCATTCAATCAATAAAATGCTCAATTTGATCCTTGGGTATACAACTCCTTGCATCACGAACCTGTGTGTCTCTTTGTGAAACTCTTTTCATTTTGCTATCCATGATACTCCAAAGATTTTCCTATAGGGTAAAGATCTGACGATAGTGCTGGCCATTATAAAACCCTGACTTTTGACTTCCACAATAAATCTTTGACATGTTTTGGTTATTGTCAAGCTAAAACATCCAAAAAAGCGGTATATTTTCTTCAGCGAAGGAAACCATAGCGTTTTCAACACATTTGTATAAAGAATCTGATGCATTACTTCATAAATCACATAAATATATTGAACTTCATAAAAAGTAAAACAGTCCAATACCATTATTGACCCTCCTCATAGCTTCCCAGTACCCATGCAATACTGTGGCATGAGCCTCTAATTCCTTGGCCTTCTCACAGTAAATTTTTTCATGTCTGAGCCTTAAATATTAAATTTAAATTCATCCGAGATCATAATATTCCGGATTTCATTTAATATGAGCTTTTGCGAAATTTAAACTGGCTTTCAGATTCTTTTCAAGAAATCAATATTTGACAGTTGCCGGGTATGTAGATCTGTTACTCTTAATTATGTATTATGAATATGTTTCTAGCCATTTTTAAATATTTTTTGGCAGTAAGTCAAAATTGAAAACCGAAACATGTTATTGTAATAAAATCCTTTTAAAATGGTCTATGGGTATAAAAATAGGCGTAGAAACCAGAACGTAGTTTTATAACGGTAAAAACAACTGAACTAAAATGTTGTCAAAACAAAAAATTGAGACAATTTCGTTTTTATTTATGATTGAAGAAAAAGTAACCCGATTTTATCGGCATTTTCGATGGCCGGTGTGATGTGCATCATTAACATAAAAAATTGTTGAACGGAATCTACGAAACCAAAATTGCACATAATTGGCTGTTACAGTATCGGAATCATAAACACCATTCACAATCTTAGCCGCTTGACTTGCCCCGAATTTCCCCTTTGTTTGCTTCTATTTTCAACACCCAAGGAATTCAGCGATCTGCAGAAAAAATAATGGATTTTTTTACTCCAACTTATTTTTTATATAAACTGTAAAAATCAAATCTATGTATTGATTTTTGAAAAAATCAGTTTCAGTTTCTTTAGTTTGTAGATCTATGTTTTAACGTGGCATATAAACATACTTGGACATAGTAATGGAGGTATATTGGTGAAGGTATATAAATACCTTCAAATCTTGTAATATAGGTCCATGTCACGGCCAAACTTCGAACGCAAAATGTACTTTTACCCGAATGTCTACTGGTAGAATATGTAATACGTTTTTGAGGGCTAAACGTGTATTTATTTAAGGATTGAAACTATTTATTATTTACATGATCGGAAAGTTGAATATGTTGATTCTATGACTGATCTAGGAATTCATTTAGATAATCGTTTGGATTTTAGAGAACATATCGAGCCATATTCGCCAAAAAAACGTAACCCTCACCATAATCGATTTTCGTTTTATTCGATAGATCAATAGTTCTCGATAATGTACATCATCTCTTAAAATTTGGTGGCTGTAGATTTTATCGTTATAATTTTACAACAAAAACAATTTTATCGTAAACAAATATGATCAGTGTGTTTACATTTTTGTTAAACGCACGTGTGGGTTACGTTTTTTTCTCTTTTAATAATATAAATGAAACACACAATTATTTTAGTATTATATTAGAAATCCGTACTTCGGAAGCTTTTAGATAACATGTCAAAGACATATATGTGATTTTAGTAAACAACTAGTAAAAATTTCATTAATTTGACCCGCTCGAACTTATACCATGAGGTGTAGGGGAGACTGGAGCACCTTTGGCATCGGGGCACCTTCGGCAATCGCGTATGAAGCTCTCACCGTACATCGCTAGTTTCGATACATAGATATCGAATATCGAAATAAATAACTGTCATAAAGTTTGAAATCTCTAGCTAATAAACTTACACGGTTTTTTGTATTTTTACAGATGTTTTTGTAATATTTTCATTCCATTTCGTATTTCGTGTATAAAAGTTTTTAAATTTTAAGGCAATATTATTATAAAGTGGCCAATTAGTTTAAAAATATTCCTTTAATATGTTTTGAAATTACATATATAAGATGAAACGTGCTTGTATTGACGAAAATGCGATAGAAAAAATGTTTTTTTTTATAGTTTGTGTGATATTTAGACGTCAACGTCCGCCGCTAGAAAATATAGCCTTAAAAGTCAAACTTTCAGTCGCATATTAAAACAAAATAGATCCTTTAGAGAATCTGAGACTGATAGCGGTGATAATTACCAGGCTATGACTATTTTTCCGAATGTATCCCATCAAATGCCGAAGGGGCACATTCGGCAAATTTGAAATTTTTTTACAAAACTGTAAAAATGTTTAGCTAATACTAATTTATTATATGTTTTTGGTACTAGTTTTGATAATTAAGTATCAGAGGACAATAATCAGCCATATAGTTTTTATATCTGTTGAATAAGTACTGAGGTATAGAGCTCTAAACAAAAAGTGGCAAAGGTGCCCCAGTCTCCCCTATATATAAAATACCTGAAATCCTTTGGGACTTTAGAGATATGGCGGGTTATTCCACGAAAATGTTTTAGTATATTTAACACAAATAAAAGCACAATCGTTTAAAAAACTGGCTCATAAGTTTAAAAAAGTGCCAAAAATTCCCAGAATACCAATTATTTGGTGGGGGCCGTTATATGGGGGCTATTCCAATGTTTACAATGTAATTCGAGGTATTGCAAACAGAATGACAAATTTAATATACTCTCCACCTAATGGTATAAGTCGATCAAAGATTCACATAAATGAAACGGATAGGAAGATAAGATATTTAAAATAATAGATGTTTTGAAATTTTATCTAAACTAACACATAATTAATATGAATTACGTTATTTTATTTTTATCTTTTGTTATTTTTAATGTTAGGATTTTTATTTAAAGTATGATATTTAATTTAAATTAATTGAAATTAATTGAAACATTTTGGTATTAACCCTCACATTTTTATATTGACCCTTTGCCAGTAAGACAGCGAAAAAAACGTAACCCACAAAAACAACCGTTATATTCCAAAAACCCACGCAAAATTGATTAAACTGAATATTTCATATAAAACAAAACTACAATTCTAAATTTCAAAGTAATAGCTTTATAAAATCTGAATTTATTAAATAAAAACCAATTTTTTAACATAGCTGAAGCGGAGGTTCACCCCTTTATAACTCGGGAATTACTTAAGTATATGAAAAAAGTGAATAGTTTTGGGTTAATTGATCTGTCGTTGCAAACTGTTTATGATATTGAACACCAAACTTAAAAAGAAATGTGTAAAAACAGGTTGAGGCGAACCCGTTTTTTTATGTTCTCTATCGATTTGTGATTAAGCCACTCATTTCACGGTCTTCGTGTTGAAGTAAAACTAGAAGCCAACAAAATGGGGACTACGGCTCTTATGTATCATTTATCAAAATTTTAACTGCATCTACCGTTAAATGATGCTGCAATTTTGAAGCTCGATTATGAGTGCTTTTTGAATATTACTTCTAGCTTTAATGCGCAAATAGGAATTTCTAAAAATCGATTATAAGACTATTGTAGTCGCGAATCTGAGTAATTTGATATATATTTTGTGTATGTATTATGCATAGCTTCAGAGTAATACTCATCAGAAGGTGGAAATTTTGTGAGATCAAATTGCTAAAAAACTTATTTTTCGGGCAAAATTTTTAGATCTGTCAACTGAATGTATATTTCATAATATAGTTTTATTTTAAGATTTATACCTACTTGTAGAACCCCAAGATTTATCGGAAGGGTCTTGCTATAATCCGCAAGGTGTATACTTATACAAAAAAAGTGATTATTTTTATATATGTAAATTTTTCGGCGAAATTCGGGTAAAACAGAAGAATAACCCCAACATTTTTCCTGAAATTTCTTGTATAAAATTAAAAAAATAAATATGATTACATTTTTTCTTCGAACCAAAAACAAATATTTTCCCCCAATATCATGTTTTGTTTTCGCTGTAATTTACAAACCACTACACAGACTTGTGTGATTGATATCATTTGATTCATCATGGTGTTTAAAATATGTAGATCATTTTAAATTAATTTTTAAGCTGATACATGTCATTAATATAATGATAATATTGACGTAATATCATATATTTCTAATATTTTTCTCATATATTGCGAAGATGTGCAATTTGTCGCGATTATTATAATATATATATATATATATATATGCCGAAAATGAAAACCTCGATAACTTTTGCGCGCATCAACCAAAAATTTTATCGTGAATGGTTTCGGAGTCAGAGCATTTTCTTCTATATGTGTTCCAAAAATAATTGATATACCACAAAAAAAACAATTTTTTTGAAAATGAAATATTAAAAAATTGGCAATATTGCCCATATATATATATATTGTTCGCTGTAGTTTAGAATATGGATCAATTATATAGGATCCGACTTATACAATTCATTCAAATTCAATCGAATCTCTACAAAAGCAATTTCTTTTATTATGTATTAAAAGTCGTGGATGGACTTTACAATATTACCATCTTATAAATTTCGATTAGGTTTAATAAAATTACCGACGCTAAAAAGTTATGAGTTATGCTAAATATTACGTTTATACTGTCAATCAAGGTAAAATAACTTCATCTCTACTACAAATAAAGTATTTTTCTGCTAACTCTATGCAAATAATGATCCCCTTCGCCTTTAATTTAATAAATTACACAATATTTTCGATCTTTCTGATAGTCGTGATATCGTAAAAAGAAAATTTATATTACATTTAAATGCCTAATATAACAATATAATATTGTAAACATTTGTAGTTTTTAGTTTAGTCTGCAAGAATTTTTGTAATCTATAGGCTTAAAAATAAAAAAATGTCAATACTATTTATTATTTAAACATTGGGATTGGGGACCCCAAACACAAGTTCAAGATCGTTCGAGAATGGTTGGTTTATAATTCTCCAAAAGCACCTCCTTAGTCCCCGGATTTTAATCCTATGGAGAACTTATGGAGTATTTTGGAGAAAAATATTAGAAGCCACAACATCTCAAGCATATAAAGCTTTACAACTAGAATTGGGAAAATTTCACACATTTTACACGAAAAACTTGGTAAAATCTATGCCGGCAACTTTGAAAGTTGTAATAACAAGATATTTGACACCCAAAAAACCGTTTGTTAAAAAAAACTTTTATCTTGAATACATTTCATCATATAAATGTTATGTTTTGGACTGGGGAATTGTTTCTGTAAAAATATTTTCTTTTTTATGAGCCTGATTTTTTCAACAATATCAAACAACAAGTTTCACATCATAGGCCAAAAAAGTCGTTTACATAATTTTGCAAAAATCAAAATTCTTGTGGATTTTTGTTTTGGCTCTAGGTCAATTGAAAAACTCGTTGTTTATGTTTTTCTTTTTTGTTTATTTGTATTTTCCAATATTTCGACTGTCTTTGGCAGTCATCTTCAGGGAAATATTTTATGAGAAAAGCAACCGATTTTCATCACCGTCTATGCTAAGCAAATGTAAATTTTGAAAGTCCTTCACATTTGCCCAAAAAAATTGTTTTTGTGAATTGTAAAGCCTATTGTTCGTTTTCCTCGGATTACATCATTATTAAACTTATTATAATTTTACTTACATCTAGATTAAAATCACGTGATATCACATTACGGGCTTCCTGATTTTGGAACGTTATAGTTACTAGACATGGATAGACCACCACATTCAAATGTTCAGGTAGTTTTGTTAAATTCTTAATGATAATGGAACACTGTTCAGAGGATAAAAGATCCTGCAAATAAATAGAAAATACACAATACATTACCAAACAATATTCTTAATGGACTTTAAAATAATCAACCATTTACCTGATTTTGTTTATTATTGGCGCAGAAGAAACCGATGGTTGCAATCAAATCAATTATAACTGCCTGAGTTTCACTATTCTTAGCTGCCGTGCATTTATTGCCGCAATATTTGAGTAGAATTGTAACCACATCGAGGAACTTCAAAGAGATCGCTTCACTGGACATTACCTCCTAAAGGAATAGAAGATATAAAAAGAAATAAAAATTATTTATATTTTTGGGATAAATTAAAGTGCCACAAATAAAAAAAAAAATTCAAAAGTGTATTGAAATATATTTGGTATAAACTTTTTCGTATATATTTTGTGTCATTGACAGTTCAAGTGGTCTCTAGGAGTTTCCATTCTCAACGAATAAGAATACAATTTACAAAAAAAAAAACGGAAAATTATTTTCCGTTTTCATATGTGAAACTTTTTTGGGCAATATCAAACAACAACTTCCACAGAATATGCCAAGAGAGTCCTTGAGTTAAGTTTGTAAAACAAAAATTAGGAAAAAAAAACTTTGGAAAGTCCTTAAAATTTGCCCAAAAGATTACTTTTGTGAATTGTAAAAGTTATTGTTCATTTTTCTTTGAAAAGTATAAAACAGTAAAATTATAGGAACAGATAACTAGAATTTTTGAGTTTGATTATGAAATTTACAATAAATATTTTAGACATTTTAATAGTTAAAAGGATACGTGTACACACAGAAAATGTTAAAAAATGTAGCAATATTCCTTTTTAAGAAATTCGTATCGAAAATTTGAACGATTTAAAAGGTACAATAAATTGGGTGTGCGGCTACCCATTATGAAGTTCCCATATAACATGTATTATTTAGAATTGTGTAGTTCAATATCAGCCCAGGTTTTGAGATAGTAGAAATGTAAAATTTCTCTAGGGATTTTGCATTTCCATCACATTATTGAAAAATTTCATTGTGAGAACTGTTACCGATTTGTCGTTAATGCCCCTGAAAGAAAGAACATCAAAATTTAAGATGTTGCTCCAATCGTTTTACTTTCCATTTAACAAACTAATTTATTATGTGTCGGCAGCATGGTCTCATGATTTTTTTTTTTTTTTTTTTGCTTCATCATTTAATTTTTGTAATTTTCTTAACACTGAATATTTAAATAAATAAATCAAAACCAACAAGTCTAACCAATGACAATAAGAATAGAAAAAACCAAAAACCACAGATTGTTTTTAGCAAATCATGATGCTTCTTAAATAGAGAGTCATGCTTGAACACTTTCCCCATTTTCTTTTCTTTTTCGTTAAAGTGTTTAGACCCACATTGGCAGATCTTAAGATGACAACACGCTTGAAAAATAACTTCGAAGTTGGGGATAAATTTCAAAACTCTAACTTCAAATATAAAATTTATTACCATGTAGTACTTATGGTACAATAATAAAAGGTAGGGCAGCTTGGGGTGAATAACAAAAAATCAAATATATACGTGGTGGCTTCTTCTGTCAAATATAAAACAAATATACGCAACAAGTGGTTGTGTTTATTTGACATTTTTTCAACACATAACTAAAAACGCGAAAAATTAATGAAAGGTTATGATTTCTTCCCAAAATCCAGTAGAGAATACCATAAAATGTTTGTTTCATCCATAACAAAGTAATTATTTCCGGACGAACTTGTTAAAAACATAATTTTCATTTCAATTAAATTTGAATATATTTCAATTTATTTTGAATTTATTTCACATAGTATTCCAAACACTATATACACCAAATATGTATTTTGAGGTGATGGAACAAGCCACCTTGTGAAAAAATTTTTGGTAGCTGTGCCCTACCTTGTAATAAGTCACATAATCAATAATTTCCGAAAAATATTTCTTGTTTCAATTATACATATTGAAAAGTGGTCAAAATTCCAATTATATATTTTGGTAATACGTACAGGTTCTATGTTTAGTTCCATTCAACACTTTTCGAACACAAAAGTACATTTTCAAGGCTACCTCCATGTCTCAATTCTACGCTCAAACAGCGATAAAAATCCCAAATTTTAGGTTTCCAGCTCTATACCAAAGTTCACCCAAAATCGAAATTTTACTAAATTTAGTATGGTTCAGTTCCCCCAAGTACAAATTTCCTAATATACATAAATCCTACAATCCAACAGTCCAGTTCTATTCGTTCACACAAAATTCAAAATGTACCAAAGTTAATACCGTTTACTACCCCCATATCTCAGTTCTACATTCAAATAGTAATCATTATACCAAATTTTAGGTTTCCAGTTCTCTCCGTTATCCAAATTGTTCCAAATTTAGTGCATTTAGAACTATTCGTACACATAAATTCTAATTTACGACAGTAATCTAAATTCCAAATCATAGGATTCCATAACCATATCCATTCACCTAAATCCAAATTGTACCAAATTTAGTACCATTTAGTACTTTCCATACTCATAAGTATGAATTTTTAAAACTACATCAATCCTACACTCTAACAGTAATCTTTAATCCACCAAAATCCAAATTGTACCAAATTTAGTACTTTTCGTACTCATATGTACGAGTTTCCAAAACTACCTCAGTCATGCTCTCCAATAATGATCTTAAGGGTCTCCGTTCAACAACAAATTCAGTATCATTTATTACTTTTACGTAGACGTAAATATGACTTTCGAAAACTTCCTCAATTATAATTTTAATCATAAATTTCAGGATCGCAGCCCTCTGCGTTCACATAGATTCAATTGTACCAGTTAGTACTTTTCGTACTTATAAGTTCGAAATTCCAACACTACTTCAATTATGTACTATAAAAGAAAAGTTGAATTCCAACGTTATGGAGTCCAGCCCAATCCGTTCACACATAATCAAGTTGTTCCAAATATAGTACCATTTAGTACACATAAATATTCAACTTCTATATCTCAATTCTACACAAATTTTAGGTTTCCAGCTCTCTCCCCTCACACAAAAATACGAATTTCAAAAGCTTTCTCTGTAGCTCAATCCGCAATAGTAATCTTAATTCTAAAATTCCAGTTTTTAGCTTTATCCGTTCACCCAAAATCCAAAATTGTACTAAATTTAGTTCGAATTTGAAACTTTTTAACGATACTTAGTTCTGGAACATATGACAAATTTCGTGCCAAGTGGACAGGCAAAGTGTTTTTGTGCACGGTTAACATAAAATCGAAAGAAAATATATATGGGGGCCATATCTAAATTTGAACCGCAGTAAAGCCAAGTGATCAATGTTTTGTCAAGCTAATGCTTCAATTCGAGAAGATAATCTGGATGCATCTTAATAATTTCTAAAATCTGGGAAATGGTTAAATATGAGCTATGCCAAAAGTGATAACAAATTTTAGAATACAACACAATTCAAAAAAAATATTCTATGACGGGTTCTTTTCTATTGTCACCTTGTTGACAATAAGCCTTCTTATTTGAACTCCGGAAAATACTTTTCAAACTGCTTTCTTTAGCATCATTTCTCATTCGTTGACGCGTGTGCTAGTGAGGTTACTTTTGTGGATTGCTTGCTCGCTTTCTAGCAGGTTTAGGCGGATGTGAATTTTTCATTTATCGATGCTTTGATGCGTAAATACATTCAAGTGCTTACACGCGTCTAACAATCGAACCCAATCATCATCATCAGCAGCAGCAGCGATAACAAGAACAACAGTATTTAATTCGTAAAAACAATATCATCTCAGAGCAACTAACTTTGTCTCCACATTCTTAACTCCCTTTGGTTTTGTTTTTATTTTTGTGGAAAACGGATACAAACATTTTATTTGTTTAGTGAAATTCAGATGAAATGAATTCACAAAGGCCCCTCAAGTATTGGCAAATAATCACGGATAGACAAACAATCACATCGTACAACCAACCAACCACCCACCACCACTCAGCCCGTACATACACACACACTCTCCTCTCACCCCTCCCTCACATAGACAGTGAAAAAGTTTGCGCACTGTTGCTGTTGTTGTTGAATTTGCGATATTCAATTGCAAAGTAAAGTGTCAAAATATTTACCGTCTCTGGCATTTGATGAACGATAATGTCAATATCATTTATTCACGTCGATGTTCCTGTATGTGTGAGAGTGTGTGTGTGGTCGACGACAAACATGATTTTCTCCAACGTCATCAATAGGAGATGGCGTCGGCGTTTCTGATGGTGGCAACAATGGCGGTGGTGCACTTCACCCTCTAATGCTTATGCATATCACAGACAGACAGTCAGTCAGCCAGTCACTCGATTCATACCCAACCATTTACATGTCAGTAACTGTAAGTTGTCACTCATTCATAGACATACAACAACAACAACACACTCTTATAGCGCGGATTATGCAACATTTCGCAAAAGTCACATGTCGCCGTCTAATTCGTGTTCCCAAACAACTATTGACAGTTGTCAATTTTTAATTTGTACACGAAATAAGCCTAAAACCTTGATGCGGTATCACAAGCTTGATATTTGTGGGTAGCATTCAAAAGATGTGAAGCTGGCGAATTAAAGATACATGTTCTGTAGTTTAGGAAATATTGGTCTGTTCTGGAGACAACTAAGACAGCTAGTGTCGACTGGAAGAAGTAGGATTTCAGTGCTTAAAAGGGCATTTAAAAGATAGTCACAGGTGACGAGTACAAAACACCAATCTACCATATGGATCTTCAAATACGATCCAAATGGAAACAAACTGTCCTCGAAGAAGCTATTCCTACGGTAAAACTGGTAATGTGACGAATATTCCGTTTTGACCGGACTAGGCACACGATATGTGATCAACGATTTCCGTCGCAAAAAGATTCTGTTAAATTATTTTTCTACGTGGAACTATGGTACAGTGTATAGGGTTGGGAAGTGTGCCTAAAATATTGATTACATCTGGTAGGAAATACCGAATATTCGGAGTTATTATTCTGTAAGGGTCTCAGTGGGCCGTTACAGCTAATTTTCGAAACTGACCTCTCAGTTTTGCATCTTAATACCCACCGAAGGTAGTACCATACTTTACATGATATAAACCGATAATTTAGAGTTCAGAATATTCCCCATTCTAAGGTGAAATACGTTTATCCGGGGACAAACCTTAAAATGCGAAACAAATGAGGTAACTATTTTAATATAAACATGTAACAAACCGACAGTCGATAGATATATATCCTCAGCCTGTGGTTTGAGGA